TAATTGTTATAAATCAGTAGCCTTGTTTAATTTTCACACAAAAAGAGGTCAACTTTAAGCTGATGCTAATAACCCAGATTGTGCTTGACTTGGAGAAGGAATTCAACCTTGGAACGAGAACACAGTGGACAGCAGTGTATTGAAAACAGATGTGTGAAATACCTTCTTCTGCAACAGCTGGCATCTCTCAGGAGTTTCTAGCTTTGAGATGTAGTTTTAATTTTTTGATTTCTACAGTGAATAATATTGACCTAAATCACAGGCTGCATTCATGCTGAAAGAGATGAGAATCTCTCCTGTGTTTCTTTAGTAAGGCCAAGGAAACCTTGAACAACATATGTATTAAGACTCTACTCAGAATCAATACACAGAATATATTTGGCAGCACTGTACACCGTCTACCTTGATTTGGTTAAGGAGATTTGGCAACAGGATAACAATATGTAATATAATTATAATCTACCTTTGTCCTTCAGAGAAACATTGAATCTCTCCTTGCATCAGGGACATCCATCTAACAGTGTTCTTGAACTCCTTACAGCGTGTACAGGGTGTTAATAAAAATAGTATTTCTCCTAGAAAAATTGCATCAGTATAATGCTGTTCTTACACAATGTCTTTCCACTAACCCACAAACATCTGTTGCATCAACATCTAAAGAGCCCAAATAATTTCATCAGATGTTTGTGGAAAAAAAATAAATAAAAAATGGCACAGCTGGTAGAAGCACGGTTGGCTATACAGGGTATAGCTGTAGCAGTGTTATGGGCGGAGCAGAAAGGTATTTGGTGCACAGAAGTTTAATCTTCTTTACCGATTTAGGATTTGGGATGGATCAGACTTACGATTTGATGATCATCTTGTCGAAGTATTTTCAACGCAAAGCAACTCCAGGTCATGGACCCAGCTATAAGATGCTGCTGCACACAGCAACATTTCTTTTGAAAACTATATCTGCTCCACTGATACTGGAGGCACAGTTCATGGTTTGCCAAGTGCACTCTCTGCAATATGCTTAACTAAAAGCCCAAGGATTATTGTGCCCTGCACTGACAAAAATATTTTGGATTTGTATGGACAGCTGCAAATGAAGCTGAGGACATAGAATAAGGTTGGAGGAAGTCATTTTGCCAAAAAACAACCTTAGCCCAGAGCTGCTGAGCTAGAAACCAGCAATCAAACCAGTATTTCAACAGTTTGCCTAACTTGTGGAAATGAAAAATGATTCAACATCAGAGGCACATTTGGTCACAGTCACAACATTAACAGCATTAAGAGTGGCATTAATAACATTTTGTAATGTAGCTTTAGTGTGTGTGTTGCTAAGGCTTTTCTCCTAGCAAGAAGGAAATGTTAAATGGTGTGTGACTAATTTTCCCTGGTTTAGATGTGGTACAAATGGCATAGTGGTATCTTGCACAGTTGGATACCATACATAGCTATCATTGTGCCAATTACTTAATAGCACCCTGAGCACACAATGAGTAAACAGATGATAACTTGGACACTTATCAGAAAAAAACTAGGCCGTGAGAGAAATGTTGACTGGCAGGTTTAATGGAGATTAAAATCAATCGGTCCCCATTGGCTGCCAGTCAATGGAGAGCCATCAGAAAGTCGGTGTCAAAGCTGCAGTGTTAAAGCAGCAGAGCTATTCTGCTCTGATGTGTTTGTGCTCATGTGCATTTAAATTACACGACTGCATGTCGAGATATGACAAAGGCATTGCCTCTGGAGCATTAATGTCACATGGCTGAGGGAGCAGTGCTGAAGTGGCTCTCAGATTACAGGATTAACATAGAGAGACGCAAAGCGAAGAGAAAGGGATAACACAGAGACAAAGGAAGCGATTCTTCCATCGGGTGATACACTTTACAGTCATTTTACAGGGCTGTGGGTTATAAAAGCTCTTGTAGCACTTTGAAGTAGTGAAAGTTAATGTTTCAAAGTTAGTCAGGGCTGTGACCATAAGAATTGTAATCCGACTCTATTGTTGCCATAGTTTTTTCCTGTTTTATGATGACGTGCTTATGTGCATAAATAAAACAGTTTAAAAAATAAAAAATAAAATCTGTCAGTGGACTCTTTAAGGCAAATTAGATCCATATTAATACTATAACCCTGGATATAACAACTAATGGTAAACAATACAAGTAAATGCTATTCTGTACTCCGAGACCCTGCTGTAACTGCTTGGGGTAAAAAAAAAAAAAAAAAAAAAAAAAAAAAACTCCAGCAAATTCGATTACCTATGTTACATAAAGGTAATCTAATTGTTTTGTTTGTTTGTTTTCAGTACACAGGCTCATGATCTTCACACACTTCTGGAGACAGTACTCTAGTCATAGTCTATGATGCATCTGAAGCCACAACTGCTTTCAAAAACAGAAAGAGAAAGATATATACACTCACGTTGAGGCTGACTAACATAAAGTGTGAACAATAAACTCTGTAAGTGAATATTTGATTAGAAGACTGATAACCTGACCTGCATTATTTTATGAACAAAGCGTTGTGCACACCCAGTGATGATAAGCAGCTGTTTATCACCAAATTATTCTATGGTCTTGGAAAGATTCAAATCACTGGTGAATCTAACATGTGGTACCCTCTAGTTCTATACAAGCTTGTATTCCTTTATAGAAACTCCAACAGGGAAACTGACTGGATGCTCACCAAACCATATTTTGACACTTTAATAGTTGCAAAAACTATAATAATATTAACCAAATAGGCTTTAGTATCAGTTTATTACTGTTACAAATATACATATATTCCAAGCTCTTCCACAGCTCTTAAAAAAATTCCTGTGATTCTTACATGTATGAGCACAAAGCAAAAAATATACTTTGAGAAACTGGGAGTGTGCAGATAATGCTGGGAGGACAGAGATTAAAAAGCAGGTTAAAAGGCTACTGCACTTTCCACCAGCAAGGTTGCCAAACTTGTTCTGCAGACAGAGTCTTCAACCCCCCACTCTTAAGATCTTAGCATTTTTGAACAGGCCAGGCTTTCATGGAGGTTAGACTCGGGGCAAAGATGGAAAATACTTGAACATGCGACAGTATGCCAGAGTTTCATTGCTGTCATCTCAAATTCTATTTATCGACTACATTCAAGATAAAAGGAAAAAGAACAGCGCAGTTTAAAAATAGCATATAAAACAAGCCGCTCATTACACCCACTTCATGCCCCTATTAATGCACCAGTGTGATTTGTATCCACAGTATTGCATGTAATAAATCAAAGCAATGCACTAAGGTGGGATTACACCATGTCTTATCACTGACATCATTATAAACACACACACACACACATATATATATATATATATATATTTAAAAGAAAAGTGTGAGTTAACAGCTTTCAGTCGTAAATTGTTATTTTAAATGTTGGTGACAGCTCAGAAGTTGGAAATTACAGCATTCCCAGAAATGATTTTATTGTGAAAAGAACTGATTGGCCAATGGATGAAGGAGTACTTTAGCTCTTTTGTATGTAGACATGCAGAGGTCGAGAGCTTGAGAATCATTAAACTGGAGGATCAATATGCCCTCAATTATGAGCAGCAAGGGCAGACAATCAGTGCCATCTCTGAAACAGTTCCCACGCGTGCATCAGTATCACAAACAACTGCATCACTGTAAATAAGCAGTGAGATCGAAGAGAGAACAGCAAGTAATAAACAACTGGTGAGTACAAATATAAATCCCCCAGTCTGAAAGACAGCTAGCGGTGCCTTATAAGGACCGCTAGCTGTCATCGTGATCTTTCTGTGTACTGCAAAAGATTCATGTGTGCCACAGCTAGGCACAGTCCAACACCAATCACATATTTATTCCTGAGTAATGAAATGTACAAACTCACAGATCATCAATAACAGGGTGGGGACTGCGCTGTAATATTTTCCAGGATACCCTGAGCTGCAGCAGTTTAAAAATCCCTACCTCTTCCTCAGTTGCCATGGCAACCAGAGCGGTGGGTGACCGGTGCAAGCTGGGTGGGAGGGTGATTTAATGTAAGCCCTTTCCAGTGCACATTACCCTCCTTTTTAATCTGTTCTGGATGCTTATAAGGGAGAAAATAGGATTGTCGCTCTAATTCAGCAGACATAAACAAATAACAAAACCATTACGGATTACAGGGTAAAAATCTAGCTTGCCATCACCCAGACGCACTGTAAAATCCACACAAAATTACAACTACTCTATTGTAATCCATGAGTCCATATAGTATTTATGTTATGTGTAGTGTGCAGCCTCTCTCTCTCTCGAGAGAGAGAGAGGCGCTGCGGAAGTGAGACTGGAACCTGAGAAGGATGGGCAGTGGCAGGAAACGAGCGAGGAGAATCAGCGGACCCCTCTACGCTCAAGGTGACATTGCTTTCATTGACCTGATTATCTGCACTCCACTCCCATCATGGAAAAAATATGCCATCCTCTCCCTCTCTCACTCACTTGATACTGATAATGGGCAGCAAACCAGGGAGAGAAGCTGGTGGGAGGTAGCACCCTGTAGCCACTGTGTCTGTGTGTGTGTGTGTGTGTGTGTAAGCACATATTTCTACCAGCACCTCACCCTATCTCCAGAGCAGCCTTGTCATTATGGGGCATTCCCCGCATACACAGGACAACTCTCCCACCATGAAATCAGCCGTGGGCCCCGGCAGGAGCGACCTGTCATCCTCCCCTTCCCCCTCGGTTACTACGGCAACACTGTTTTTCTGCACCAACACCTCTTAATTAGACAGACGTGATACATTCACCTACGTATTGGTGAGAGGAATCCAATCCAGCTTGTGTTCTGGGGAATGATAAAGCATACCAGCAGCCCCGACTCCCCTCACTCACACGCTGATAGCCTCCAACTATCTCCCGGTCACATGCAGTCCACACTCAAACATTTCAGCCAGCAGATAGCCGGCTTCGGCTCCTCGCTCCTATTCCTTGCATTCATTTAATTATAGGGTAGAATTGGAAGATGCATTTTGCTTGTCTTACCCTGTCCAGGAGAGAGCTTCCCTCTGTTGTGCTCTTAGCATTCCTTTTATATCCTCAACTCACTGCAGTATCCAGCTTTCTGCACTGTCGACAGAAAAAACTATGCCTGTACACAGCATGCAGTGGAGCATTTCCTGCACAAGGTATGTAGTCCACGCAGGTTCAAAGTCATCTGGATGAGGTTTAAGTGGCTAATAAGCACCTTCTCAGAGGCTGTCAAAGGAAAATCCCAGTTAGGTTGAGGATGTGTTTCTGTGATGGCTGCAGGGCAAACAAGGGATAAACTCGCCGTACATAGAACGAACTGCTGCTTGAGATCATGCACACAGCCAGCTGGCTGGCGAGTACTTCTTTCGTATTCTCTCCCTCCCTAGCCTCCTTCTCTCTGCCTTTCTCTGCAGAATGCCGTGGGGGCAGAGGGGAGAGGCACAGATGTTACTGGCTCCAGGCCACACCCCTTTTCAACACTCCTAGTCCTAATAGGATACAGGAGGGCCGTGGCCACCGCCCAGCTTGCTTCCCCACCCCCCCACCCCTACCGGCTGTGAACAACTTCTTGAAGGGTTTGCTTGAAGAGGGCTTGTTTGAAGAGCTGTAGGAAGAAAAGAAGGCTGTGTGGTGGAAATGTGTGACAGGGAGAGAAGAAGGATGCTATTCACGTGTGCCAGGGATGCTGGAGGAATGAAGCAATGTCCAAACCAATGTCCAAACGAAAGAAAGCAGAAGAGCTGAACTGCTTCTCATCATTATTCTGAAGTCCTGTGTTTAATAAAACACCTTCAGAATATGCAACACTGCAGTCTCGAAACGGTGATAACATCCCAAAGAATTTTAATCTAAACAATGTCAGACACTCCCACATGATTTACTGCACATGTATCATGAGTGCATCTCAGCTAATTACTGCTTAACAAAATCCAGCATCCATAAACATTCCTGAATTGCAACACTGTGACTTTTTTTTTTCAGACACCAAAGTAATAAAATTGCATATGGAATTTTCTGAGAATGACTTTCATGAAATTACAATCAATTGCACATACAGTCAGAACACAGTGTGACAGGAATTTTACCTTCACTAACGTAAAAAAGTAATAGTCAGCCATCAGTGAAGTCAGAAAAATTTGAAGTCTTAATAGAAAACTCTATTACAAAGTGACTGACAAATTTCTTAAGTATTAAAAAAAAGACTTTTGTGAAACATGTAGAACAGCATCATCTTGATTGTTTTGACATTTTAATTATGATTCTCCTCTGATACTGATGATCTCTGCTTGCAAAAAGAAGTCTGATTGCACACATTTATATGATAAAATGACCGTACTGCTCACTTATGACGCAAAGAAACACTTATGAAATTTATGCTCCAAATCACTAGTTTCAAACTTTATGTAAATGAAATTCCATTTAGAACAACAGACAATAAACCTACGTATGTGCTAGGGTGTGGCTCCCTACTGATTGACACCACTACCGTATGGGTGTGTAGTGTTCTCGATTACTCACTACGATCCAACCTGTGCTTGTGACATCTGGTTTTAACAAAAACAAGATGGCTTCAGCCAAATTGCGCAACTCGAGGCTTCAGAATGGTAGTCCACAAACCGAATCACAGTGACCACGTCTATTTTTATACACAGTCTTTGGATCAAAGACATAAAATGATCTCAGATAAAATAACACTGCTTTTTTTTCCTCCCCGCATAAGGGACACTCACTCTAAGCTTTGTTTAAATAGAATCAAATGTTCCAAACCAACAGCAATAAGCATATGATGTCGCAATATGAAAATTTACTGTGGCGTGTTGATTCACCTCTGACGTAATGTTTGAAAACATGTCATCTGTACTAATGACTATTTTGTCCATCTGTTTTCTTCAATGGTGAAGGTAACAAAATCAGACATGTTCTCATAAGAGAAAATTATCTACCTGATTTAGACACCCGGTTCCATGCAGGTGTAGACAAATTAAGTGTCATCAGTCAGTAACATCTATCCATTCATCCATTTATTTTCTTCTTATCCAATGTGGAAGGAAGCTAGAGTACTTTGGGAGAACCCACACAAGCACACAGAGAACATGCAAACTCTACACAGAAAGAACCCACCAAACAGTGGAATCAAGGCAACCACCACACCAGCACGCTCTCCCCTACTTATTAACTTTTGTTCGTTACAAAACAAAACAGGTGAGTGAAGCATTACCAAGCCGTTTCATGAGAGTGAAATCTCTCAGTGCTTTTGTTGTATATTATGTTATTCAACACCATTTTGAATCTCCATAAGTAGAAATATGGCAGAAACACAGGAGTATTATATGCTCTGTAAGTGAAACTATAACCGAGACTATGAATTTACTCTGCTTGCCAAGAAAACTGATTCTAAACACACCCCTGCCAAAAGGAAGTCGCACATCAAACCTAAAAGCAACATTTAAACCTTGACAGCTGCAAGCAAGCTTTAAAAATGTTGCCCGTCTTCGTCAGAGTTTAGTAATGTCACTTTCCCTGATTTCAGGGTTTTCAAAAGTTCAGCTTTCCAGCAGCTGCCTTTCCCTCTCATCTGGACATGCCAGCATGTAAAGCCGTCTGCAGCTTTTAGATCTCTGATCCAGTCACATGTTACGGCTAGATGATAGAAAACGTTATCTTTTGAAGCCCTTCAACTTTCTCACTGCGGACTTTATAGTTCCACGTCTGAGTTTGCATTGTTGATCCACATAGCTGGGCTTGTGTGAAACAGTTTATCTCTACAGGGCTGGGGTAACAGACATCAGTGGCAGGCCGCGCCGGTGCAGTCATGAATGGATAACAGTGGAAGCTGTACAGTGCTGGGTAGCTGCCTCTGAAAAGAATGTCGTGCAGCTGGAACAACAGACAGGTCCGGTTCCCATGGACGGCTCCTGTTCTGATGGGATGGATCTGCTGTGTCGATAAAAAGCCAGGACCAATGTTTTGTTGACCTCGTGTGCACCACGTGTAACGGCCAATGTTTGGTGTACTGAGGATGGCAATGTTTTTAGTAACATTCGGTATTACTCTCCTGCATTTCTGTTAAACTAGAATCTATGAAGAAAGACTGTGTAGCTTTCTTTCATGTGTAGCATTTTTATGAACTCCTCTTTAAAAAGGAAATCCAGAAAAGTTTATAAAATAAAGATTTTTATGTCCTACCATCCTTACTTCTACCTGCAATCTGAACATTTAGGATAATGAGACAACAATAGAATAATGTGGATGAGGAGAGTCTGGAAAAATGAGCTTAAACTATCATGGATAAAACGGTGTGTCACTAACAAGTAGTTTTTCTCTTTGGTAGACTGCTCATCTTGCAGCATGTGCATGCTTGAATGACAATCTATGACAGCACTAGCTTGAGGGTTTTGCATCATTACACCTGCAGGTTAAGAATTATCAGGAACAGCCATCCTCTGGCAGCAACTCCACTGAACCTTTCTGTTAATCATTTAAGCACAGAGTTAAACTTTACCCTGTTTTATGACTTCCAACAAACAAAAGTACATATTATGGCTACTATCTATCTATCTATCTATATATATTAGAGATGGCACGATACCACTTTTTTATGTCCGATACCGATACCGATATCATAAATTTGGATATCTGCCGATACCGATATGAATCCGATATAGTGTTTTTTAATCAACAAAACTGTTTTTTAAATATCTTGCTGCATTTTGTATAAGTTCATACTCAAGTTTAAAACAACAACTACACTAAAGCTATTCTGTTATACCTGTATGCAAAAAAAATATATTTCATAGTTCAGCAATACTGATCAATCTAATAAACTTAAACCTACACCATCCTCCCTATTCTGGTATTTTAAAGAGTACTTAGCATAAATATTAAGCAACCTAACTAATAGGGTTCCAACTCCCAGCAACAACAAAAATAAATAAATAAAAAATAGGGAACCACCCCTCACGCTCCACCTCATGATGCTTAATCGACGTAATCAACCTTAATTTGATGCAGTGTGAAAAAAAAATGCACAGAAATCAATTATTTTTCAAGAAATATTAAATAGATTCAACATCTTTCTTCAACAAAATTGCAGACTGCACAGATGGTACCTTCCCAAAGGAAAAAGTACTATAGCTTACTAGGGTATATATATTAGACTTAATAGTTACTATATACAGTAATTGACTTCTATTCATTTTACATCAAATTAAAACTTTGGGTGTCAGATAATTATTTATTAAAAGCTAGACATTTTAAATGAGAATAAGAAAGAAAAGTATGTCTTTGTGCCCCCTTTCCCCTGTTAATGCCCTATCGGCCCCCCTGGCTAAACTTTGCTAGATCCGCCCCTGCACAGTTACCAGCGTCAGCTACGTAGAAAAAGATCCTCGAGTAGAAAGTAATATTAAATACATTCTAACAACAGCTGATCAAGCTTAAATGTGCTGCTGTTGTTCAGCTGCTGGTTTCCTCTTTCTGGTGCAAAGTGGGCCAAAAGCAAACTAGAGACACGACTCGCAACAGAAAAGCCGATCAGCTGATCGTTAAGCAGTTTCATGATTGAAGTAGCAGCAGGAGAGGCAGTCGCTTGTTAAGCTTAACGCAGGAATGCTTTACAAACATTCAGAGATGGACTTACACACTTGCTTTACTTCTCTCGGGATAACTTTGTCGGAAATGAAATGCTGGGTTGCTAGCGAAGCTCCAAATGCTATCCAGACCACCGACAGGTCCCGCATGCCACAGCCGCTCTATCACGTGATGCATACTGCTCTGACGTGCTAACGTTCTGAGGTGAGTTACGGCGTGTTGCAAGTTTTGTGAGGTGCTTTCGTGATATTTAATGGATCGGATTACATTTTTTTATTTTTCTCCGATATCCGATCCAGTAATTTAGGTCAGTATCGGACTGATACCGATACGTAATATCGGATCGGTCCATCTCTAATATATATATAGATATTCAAGCTGCTGAAGCTTGAATATCAATGTGCAACACATCAGCTGTGAAACAAGAAACCTGATTGGCTGCAGAAAAGTACAGCTGTGATGGTAATGTAAAAAATAACTTAATAGCTTATTGTTCAGATAACAGTGTGAATCATTGGAGCCAGTCAAAAGCACACACAAATTAAGATAAAAAAAAAACACACACACACACACACACACACACACACACACACACACACACACACACACACACGTGCAAAAAAAATAAACCCAAGGTTCAGCTGCACAGTAATAATAAGGATGTCTGAGCTGAATCATGACTGACAGCCGCTAAATAAAAAAAACACTTTCTCCAACTACTGCAAAGGAATGTGTGAAGGGGGAACGTAATATTATGGCTCGTATCATGTGGTGGAAGGCTACAGCGCTTCACCGTGTGCATGTGTTTCATTCAGGGTGGAGCTATAT